CGTCTGATCGGCTAGGCCATCTCACCACAATGTCGTGTGTGTCGATATGGCCTTTGTTTTCTATCAATTCATTCCAATCAAGGGGAATAATCTCAACATAACATAACGGAAATTTATCCCTCTATAAACTCTTATACTGGCACGTGTAGTTTTGAGCTTAGGCCGTTACAACCCACCTTTCCTCAGTGACCTAACAATGCTCCCAAAAATATTTATCATATAAAAGGATTATATATATCATAGCCTTTCTTAAACTCTTTTCATTTCATTGGCATTCTTAGTCATACATGTAAATCATCATTCTTGGAACGATGACCGCATTTTATATTTCATACTTTCATCCCTTTATGTGTTATGGATCATCATAAATTATTTAAAGACATTTAAAATAATGAGAAAGTCATAGCTTCAACTCATAAGTATGTAAGAGCTCAAAACACATTGGAAGTAATTACAAGGAAGAGCATAGTGATTTGCAATTTAAAGCACGAGTTAAAATCATAAGCATTTGGGTGAATCAATCATTAAAAACAATATGGAACAATAGGAATAAAACTTGGACAAACCATACTTGGAGTTCGCAAGGAATTCATGGAATCCGATTCTATGGAAGGGGTTTTGCCAACATACCTCGATTAAGCTTTTCTTAGAATCACTATGGCGTTCCACTACTCTAAAAATTCAATAACATAGTTCAATTTAACCATTATTAGAAGGAAATCTCATAATATAAGTCTTTTAAATATTTTTCCAAATACCTAATATGCAAATTCGGCTACAAGGTTCGACAATGAAATTCCTCCGCCCCATAACCTATTCCAAAGCAAATAATCAATCTATAATAGTCCTACAATACCCAACAACCTTCATTGGCACATGAATTCCTATCCATATACTCCCAACTAAAGAATCACATCCCTCATTCTTCACATGCATCCCAAATTCGAAATTAAGGGCTTATAGCTTTCGATCACCATTTCATAAGCCCCAACCATAGTAATCATACTCATTAATTCATTATAGAACACTGCATGTTAGCTTGGGATAAAGTCTTACCCTTAAGTAGAAGCCCTTGTGAGTTTTCCTCTTGAATTTCTAAGACTTGATCAAGAATTTCAAGTGTAGAAGTGTTAGAGCTTCTCCTTCTCTCTCTAGATTTCTCTCACTCTCTCTAAAATATCAGATTCTCCCTTTAAAATGACCCCCTTACCTCTTTTTATTAAAATAGGATCGGGTAAAATTTTCCAAAAATTAACCATCTGAGACGGGCTTGTGATCACGGGTAGGACCGCAGAAAAGGCATGCGATCCGCGAAATGTACTGCGAATTGCTCCACCAAATCTAGGTTAGGTCTGGTCGGATCCGCATTCCGCAGAATGATTCTGCCGTTGCATACTGGACCGCGAAATCTCCTTCCAAAATTTCATGCTGGTTATGCTAAGATAGAAATACTTTTTTATGCGACCTATTCCCCATATTTATCTAATTGGTGCTATTTTAAACCTTTCTAGCAAAATGGCTACTTGTCGCCAATTAATCACTGCTTTATATGCTTATATGGATATTGGACCAACTAAAACCCCTGATATTGAAACTTGCATTTCTGAACTACACAAACATTTACAAGCTTTATATAATTATTATGCTAACATTGTTGATGCATCTCTGGTGTAGATGAAAATACAAATATTCCTTCAAGTTCAGTTTCTACATCTGCATCCGGTGCTATAGAGGATAATGACGGTGTTGAAATTTGGTCTACACTAGAAGAGCATCGACAAACTAGTAGCAGAAATATTGATGAACTTCAATTCTACTTGCAAAAGGCAATAGAGCCCTGCATAAAAGAATTTCTACCACTGGCTTGGTTGAGTACCAACTCAAATCAATTAACTGTTCTTTCGGCCATGGCTCGAGATATGCTAAATGTGTCGATTTCAACAGTTGCATCAGAGAGCGCATTTAGCCAAGTAAGGCAGCAGCTAGGAGATACCCATCACTCATTGGGTAGCAATGCTTTGAAAGTTCCAGTGTGCTTCAGAGATTGGATAAGATCAGAACGGCTAAATCAAAGGCGTGAAGAGGTAGATAAACCGGAGGACTAAGAAATTGGAGATATAATGATTTATGGTTCCGATACAAGCAATGCCAGAAAACAAGAACATCATGTTGACATGGATGAACTTACAAAAATGATGCAAACCGTGTGATACTCTACTATTCTTTCTTATTTTTTCTAATAATTGTTGTAAACTTTTAATTTGCAAGTTCAAAAATAAAAAATAAAGAAATAGAAATAGAACTTGCAAATTAATTTGAAGTATTATTATGCAATGAAAATATAAAATGAAAGCATTTGAAGTTTAATCCTTACATATTGGTCTTATTAAATAATTTTATGTAGCCACTTAATTTAAATTTTTAAATTTTTAAATTAAAATTTTAAATTTAAAACTTTAAAGGTTAAAAGTTTAATTTTATGTCTTAAAATACTTATTTTATTATTTAAAATTTTGCAAATACTTAAGTATCAATTACATTGAACAAGAAAGCATAATACACTAGGGGGAAAACCCGGCCTGGTTCGAACATGATAAGCCCGAACCTGGATGTGCCCAATATAACCCGGAATATCCCTACCCACTACCAGCCTGGAACCCTAGCCCACTAACCAGCCTGCCCCACTAACGGGACTGGCTATTTTTTCCCATGTTCAGTCGGTCCAGCCCGTTCGGATAACACTTTTAAGTAGCATACATCGGCACGATAAAACCTTATTGGCGAATTATATGGGGCCTTACAACGAACCTACCTTTACAAAGAATTTTCTGATCATTATGTTTGGAATCCCCAGCATAAGATTTGGACAAAAGGAAAAAAAGATCAGTAATTGGTAGAATTGCAACAGGTATGATATATACTATTAGTCTCAATATTTATACATATAATTTTTTTGATTTAACTGCATTATTAGCATATACTCGATACTGTAGCTAATCCTATAGAGGGGGAAAGGTATTTTGAGCAATTATTACTCAACCATATAAGAGGACCATTTTTATTCAAAGACTTACTCACTGTGAACGGAAGACATTGTGAAACCTTTAAAGAAACTGTTAAAAAGGGGGTTATTAGAATCAGATAACAACATATTCAAATGTTTGCGTAAGTCTGGAAGTTTCCAAATGTTGTCAGCTCTTCTTAGTTTGTTTGCAACACTTTTGGTTCACTGTAGCCCTACTGATGTTAGAACATTCTGAGAAACTTATTTTGAGGATATGTCAGAGGACTTTAGAAGGATACATGACAACTAAGCCTCAACTCACCTACAATGTACATTGAAGAATATTAATTATCATTTGGAGAGTATGGACAAGAGCATCGACAAATTTGACCTTCCTAAACTTGAACAGCAATTGGCATTTCAACATCGGAATGTAGAGAAAAAACTGAAGAAATGTCTGTATCAGTACCTAACGAAGATTTTGAAGCATAAACAAAATTAAATCCTGAACAAGAGCAGGCTTTTAAAATAATTTTACAAAGGGTGAATTGTGGAAGAGCTGGATTACTCTTTGTCAATGGACCGGGGGGAACAGGGAAAACATTCTTATATCGAGCGTTGCTCGCATATATTCGCTCAAGGGGTATGATATCATTGGCAACGGCAACCAGTGGAGTAGGCGCTTCAATTTTGCCAGGAAATCGTACAGCTCACTCTAGATTTGACATTCCCCTTCAAACGAATGACTCGACCATGACAAATTTGTCAAAACAAAGTGGTGCTGCCAAATTGATCATATGAGCATACATAATATAAAGTTGACATGGTCAAAGTCAGGTAAGCGCGGACAATTGTTACTTCACTCATCATTTCTCATTAGTCATTATGTCACTAATCCACAATAATAATTAGTCTTTTATTTCTCCAAAAGTGTATGAATTATAGTAGTATGTGTTAACACTTATCAACAGCGACGAGGTATAAAATCTTTTGCTTTCTATTATTTTCAAATGTGTATTGAGTTAGTATTTGCTATATTAGTTTTTTTCTCTCTATAAATATAACCCGGAATAACCCAATCAAATAACAAAAGTAACCTTCTCTGAAGTTCCTCTCCCAATGTCATTCAAGAATGTCAAGATAAAAAACGAAAACAAAAGTTTATGTAAATATATCTATATAAAACCAAACATATGTTTTATATTGTACACGAATATAACTTTTTTTTATCCTATGGATCAAACATCTACAATAAAGTATATCCACTGAATAAACATCATCTAGTTCTCGTATAATAATTCTCACATTATAATCAAATAACAAAAGTACCCTCCAGAGCTGCTGACCCAAATTTCTTAAAGAAGACAAACGTTATCCAAGTTTGCTAATTGTAAAACCCAAAATCATCTTTTATATTATACCGAATGTACCCCCTTTCAATCCAATAAATCAAACATCTACAATAAAAGCATATTCACTAAATAATTCTATTAATATTATTCCCCGTGTTATAATTTCCATATTATAATTCAAATATAACTTATTTGCAAACCATACGAACCTCACTAAGATTTAAATTCCATTATTTTAGTCTATTCCCAGTGGTTGAGCGTTTTATAGATCATCATGCAAGAATTTTACTTCATACTTATATCTTCTATTTTCTAATAAAATAAAAGATGTGAAAAAACAAAATAAAAGCGGGCTGGACAGATGTCGACACATGGATTCAAATTTTTCACATATTCCATTTTTCATGAAGCAAACCAAGGACTAAAACTCAACCGAACTCTTGCATGATGCCCTGGTATTATAGTTCTTCTAAACCTCAACACTAGCACTCGAAACCAAAATAATGTTGAAGTATTACAATCCTCGATTGAATCAGGTAAAACCTTATATCCAATCTGCAAACCAAACCAACGCCTTAAGCTATGAGAAGATGTTAGAAGAGAAATTTTATAAGTTCTTGAACTGGAGAATGAAAATAAAATACTGTAAACACAAAAGGGGTTATAAATTTCACTATGAAGAGCTGTGGTCAACAAAAGATATGATACAATACAACTCTGCTGCTTCACAGAAAGAATCAAAGACTGAAAATCAAGAAATAGCAGAGGCTGCGATTTCCCTATGCTGCTATCTAGGTAATGCTTTTTGCCAAAAGAAAAAGAAAAAAAGAATGAAAACCAAAATCGAAAGCAAAGAAGCTATTGTACAAACCAAATTTCATGCTGCACCACAACCTATCAGCAAACTCATGAAATTCAAACAATCCCAACAGCTTTATCCGGCGTTCTGTCAGCTAGCCACCTCTGTCGCATCTCGTACACAGCTCTGTACAGTATGTACCCACAGATGGGTATACTTGACAAAATCTCGATTCTTGAGACACCCTTGCCTTTGTCCAATAATCTTGAAAATTGAGTGAAACTAGAAATTAAAACTCTTGGAGAGCTTGCATGTGGTACATTTCATACAACATCCGGAGGTACAATTACAAATTCCTCAGAAGAGAGGCAAATGGCAAGACAGCAATCCTTTAATTTCCGACTGCATCAGAGAATTGCTCTTTCCCAACCAAGCACCTCTTAGCAAACAAGTTAGTGATACTCTCTCTTCACACATATCGTCACCTTTCGTGGTGGATAACTCAATTTGACCTCATAATATCCCATTTAAGACCCTCTGATAATAATCATATTGGCGAGTACGCCATGCATCCAAGCTACTGCTAATCAAAGAAAGTACCAAGGAAACACATTGCTGGCAAAAACAAAGAGGGCATCATGACCATTTGGATGATAAAAATTAAAAAAACTAATGAAGTTATGTACCAGTAACAAACCTCTTCTGTTAAACTAAGATGAAATCTCTTTCTTAGGTTCTGAATTGTTCGGGGACCACCCTTGAAACAAGGATAACCAGAATCCTGATATGAAGATAGAGGGAAAACAAATTCTGTGTTATCCCAAGGAGATTAATGTATCAATTCCATAACGACGAAAACTTGTTTGACTGAACAAGTATGCTTAGTAACTCAATCAGTGATACAATAGTTAGCTCATTCATAGCCAAAACAAACAAGCAGAGGTTTAGGTAGATCCTTGATCTAAAGAAATGGTTATAGGAACCGCCTTTAAATCTCCTCCTTCTGTCGTCACACTTGTCACTAATCCCTCATACATATCCTATATGATACTTCTTTGAATTCCTTCCTTTTCAAGCACCATGAAAGGACATTTTTCTCCGCACTTCTTTTGATAAAGTTCAACAACAACAAACCCAGTGAGTTCCCACAAGTGGGGTCTGGGAAGGGTAAAGTGTACGCAGACCTTACCCCCACCATGGGAAGGGTAGAGAGGTTGTTTCCGATAGACCCTCGGCTAGAGAGACTTCTTTTGATAAAGCAATAAGTTTTATTCATGTGAGCGCAAAATAAGCGCCCTTATACAAGAGGTATACCAAAAAAAAGTAGAAAACCTAAAAGACTGGTTTTCCACGAATGACACCCAATCCTCCATATAAAAAGGAGTATCATGGGTGCACCAGAAGGGCACACTCTATCATATGCTTTCTCTAAGCTAATGAATACCATGGGGAGATCCTCCTTCCTCGCCTAGTATATCGCAATCACTCTCTTTTAGCGAAAAAATAATTTCTTTGTTGTAGACTATTTTTAATCTTTGGAAGTCTCAAAACGCTTTTCCCAATAAACGAACTATAACTGTATTAAATTTTCTCTATGAATACAATATACTATATGAATGTGAGATTAACTTTTCCTCCTCTCCTGCCAATTTGTGACACACAAATGGCAGACATGTTGAATAAATACAAGGCTATATTTTTGGCTTCTCGATTCTGTTTCTCACAGTTATAAAATCTTAATTAAGAAGAAGAAAAGTGATGCTCCAAACACATGGTTCTTTGATACTAAACACTAACATCTTCAGATCTTCTCTTGATTTATGTGGCAAGTCAAAGAAATATATTAAATTTCGGATATCAACTAGCATTACCATATTTTATACTGCATCTTCGATGGTATTGTAGAGATTAAAAGGAATAAAGTTAATATGGAAGTGGCCCCCATATTTGTGTCTTAGGTCACAAGTTCAAGCCCTCACACCATGCAAAGCAAAGCCTGGTATTTAAGTGGAGAAGGGTAGAGGGGCGGGCCCATTATCCACCGAGTTTCGAAGGCTGCGGTTGGTCCAAAGGATCGGCCCCAGACTGATTTCTCGGTCATCAAAAAAAAAAAAGTTAATATGGAAGTGTGGCAATCCCAGAGAGTGAAAAGGAGCTTAAAGCTAATATGGAAAACTATTCCCAACTGCATAATGTGGACATTATGCCTGGAGCGAAATAAAGCAAGATTTGAGGGGAAGAGGCTGCATATTACCAGAGTAAAAAACAAATGCATTAAAAATTTGTATTTCTGGTTTTATAGTTAGATGAGATGGACCAGTATTTGGATTTTTTGCACTTATTAGGAGATTTGAGGGGAAGAGGCTGCATATTACCAGAGTAAAAAACAAATGCATTAAAAATTTGTATTTCTGGTTTTATAGTTAGATGAGATGGACCAGTATTTGGATTTTTTGCACTTATTAGGAGAAAATATGTAGTATGAATTAAGTAAGAGGTGTAGTCTGGTCTTGTACTTTTTCTATGTACCATCTTGGTACCAGTTATAATAAAATCTTTACTTAATAAAAAAAAAAAGATTAAAAAGAATAAAGTTGGAGAAATAGTCATTCCTTGGTAAAGGCTCAACCTGCCACATCTGAATGTCTAAGATACTGAAAAATGGGAAGCTCTAGCAGCGTTAGAACTACATGACATTTCCCGAAATTCTTTCCTAGCTCTAGAAAATGCCCCCCAGTCCCCATTCCGCCCTATGTTGGAAAATTCCACACATGAGAAACAAAGATTTTACATATAATTTTAAACATGTATGAAAATTAGCAGCTGAAACTGTATATGAGCGGCTACCTGTAGCATCTCAACAAGAAGAATTATACGCTCTGCGTGCTTCCGACATGTGAGAAACCCTTGGATGCATAGAACCTGAAGGCAGGAAATAAAAAAGCATAAAGCACAAAGAATAGAAAAAGAAGTCCAAATACAAAATAAAATCTCAGTGAACAATATATTACTTTGAAATAATCAAAGAACTCGCTTGGAACTCCTTCAGCATCAGAATCCATGATCTAGCACAAATCAACCAAAAATATATGTTCAGAAACTGTATCAACACCTTCAGAATATAAAATAACAAGGGTAGAAATAAAAAGTTAAGACACGAGATTCTTCAGTAGCATATACCTCAAGGAGTTCGCGGGTTAATTTAAATGGTGCACTTTCGAAATTTACGCCACCAGGTGAATTAGATAGCATGAAACCAAAGTCGATGTGTATGATATGTCCTTCTTCATCCAATAGAAGATTTCCGTTGTGTCGATCCTTTATCTAGCAACAGAAGCAGAACGGCTGGTAATCATTGCGATACCTACTGTACTAGCAAAGCTAATAATGAAGACATTCATAGTATCCACATTAAGGGTGTGTTTGGTATGAAGAAAAATGTTTTTCAGAAAAATATTTTCCATGTTTGGTTGGCTTAAATGTTTTAAAAAAATATTTTTCTCATGAATTCATTTTCCTCCAATTAGGAGGGAAAACATTTTCCAAAATTCTTTTTCAACCTTTCCCATNACTAAAAAGTATTTTCCGGGAAAAGTTTTCCATTCACCAACCAAACATGGGAAAACAAGTGATAAAACTACTCATTTTCCTCCATAACAAACACACCCTAAGAAAAATCAAAGAAAAATAAGGAAACAAGAACAGACTTTAATCATGCACATTTCCTAAACCATTGGCACAACAGACATTTTAACGGTGAAAGACAAGTGACTTTAAGCGTGCCAAACGCGAGTACGAAATAACTCACTACACACACTCGTGCTATGTTACACCTTAAATAGCATACAACCATTATTTTTCTTGATAGGTAAGTGAACATCTTATTGAAACAAAAGGAGCACAAAGATTCTGTTGTGCGTTACATCATGATATCCTTACAAGTTTATCTATTTTCATATCCACGAACCTTACAAAAAATCAGTTCCTACTAGTCTAATGTGAGAGGTAACTGAGGAAATCTAAGAGCTATCCACACCATATACAATCTGCATATTGCACCAAAAGCTAAGAGGGAAAAGAAATTGAACTTCAGTTTGTGAACTCTTCCTTTTGCCTCCGAAACGTCTGAGATTCCTTTCTTTTCAAATGACCAACCAATACCATACAACCATTATGATTGTCATAAATCACAATTATTTGAGTTATTGAATTTGAACTAGAAAGGGAAGTCATGAAGAATTTTCCTTGGAAAACAGGAAAACCAACTTTTGGGTCATACACCCACATACAACACACCGCGGCATGTCATATTCTTTATCCTCTTTGAATAACAACGGCACCACTTTATCTACCGTTATGAAGAAACCTAATCGGTTCAGGGTATGCAAGGCCATAATATCCCTGCTTCTCCATCTTCCGCTATTTGACTGTGTTCTAGCTCTTCCATTCCAGCTCTAAGGATTTCTTGCATTCTATGCAAATTTTATTTTCCGATCAGCAGTTTCAATTTTCTCTCACATTAAATTCCATATGGAAGTTACGGACAGTGACAGCCATCGTATGGTGGACCATACTGAACCTGTTTAGTATACATTGCTCAATGCCGGCCACCATCAAAGATATGTTGTTGCTAGGCCTTCAAGAGAGGGCAAAGAGGATGCAGAGAACGGAATGCAACTCCTTGCACTAATGTGGTACTGTAGAGGAAAAAAAAACTGGACAGCCTAGGGAAGGGGAGTGGCACTGTTGTATAGATGAGAGGAAGCTTATGTTTCTTCGTAAATTCAGTGCACCCACGGAGTCCCTGTTAGCGTAGATGTCTGGTACTTTCTGACTTTATGTAGAACATCATATTTTTGTATAGGTTCTCAACTTTTGTTTACCAATAGTATACCAAGAGTTACTGTTTGATCAAAACAATTGTCACTTTATCCAAAAAAAGGTGATAGACAACTATCACATTTCTTTATGTCTATTATCAAGAGCAAATGTCATAAAAAAACATGCTTGACTTTTTCTAATTGTAGTAAGCCCAGATATCCCAATTGTTACAATTTAAGTTCATGTAGGATATGCAGTCTAATCATTTTTAGAGACATTGTGTCAGCATTTACATTTAGACTTTTTTTTTCCCACACACTTTTTTCCAACTTTCATCTCTCTTTTTCCAATTTTTATGGGTACAGGGGCACACAAAGAGAATAAAGATTTGCATTAAATACTCAAAAGATATGGCTAGCATGCAGCCCATGTAAAATGGAACTATCTCAGTGATACATATTAGAGATAGAAGCATCTGCTGACAACAGAAATATTAGAGATAGAAGCATCTGCTGACAACAGAAATATATGATCGGTGTCTTATGCTTCTTCTTGCAATCATCAGATTAAACAAAGAAAAACGCAAAGTTATACAGAGAGAAGCCATCCAGTTCACCTGCAAAAGGTAGCAAACCAGAGAATACCCAGCCATGCTTTCGACAAAATTTCTCTGCATGTAAAAGAAATAAAGATGGATAAAAATAAGGAGTCTTTTTATTTTACAAGTCCCAAGCCCAAGTAAAATCATGTAAAGGAAATAGAAATGCGACTCAGCAAAACATAAGAGAGAGATCCTTAACTATACAGCAAGAATTACATAATGAAGCAGGTAAAAAACTATTAGGAAGCACAACTTATCATCCAAACTATTTCCCAAGAGAAAAGCCCTCAGAAAAGGAAAGGCTTGATAACGAAGATACAACTTAATTTAGTAAACCTGTTCCAGTCATTGACTAGAGCACACAGTTCAGCCTTCTGATATATCTGACAAGAGTTTCCGTCTTCTTTTATTCATTCCCGTTTCTTGAACTTAACAATGGAGACATATACAGCATATTTTCTTTGAGGTTCTCCGAACAAAATACTACTTGTTAAATATGGAATTTAGACAAATTCCTCATTGCAAAACTTCATTTCATAGCTTCTCGAGCATCGATCTTCAAAAGACTCGTAAAGTTCACTAGTCTGCTGGACGTACCCATAAAACTTTTCTTTCGCACTTGTTACACGAAACAACAGTTCAGAAACAATAAACATAAATGAAAACATAATCAACAAGGACCATCACCCTCATAATATTCGCACTTCTATTATGTTCCAAGGTGAAGTGCACAGGAGTCCCCCAAACTACGACAGTCCAAAGTGAAGTGCACAGGAGTCCCCCAAACTACAACAGTTCTTGCATTCCAGTATTTTTAAAGCGAGTAGCAAAAAAGCAATAAGCCTCCAGGCGAACGAGAAACGAGAAATGAAGCACATACTCCCTCTGGTCCACTTTAATTGATTTTTTGGCCTTTTTATAGTGGTCCACAATATTTGATTTTTTCAGCTATCAAGAAGGAATTAACTTATTTTTTCCAAAGTTGCCCTTGTATTTCCAATGAACAAATTAAGGTTAATATGGTCAATTTCATTGTTAATTATTGTTAAAAGGTGAATTTCTTAATATATGTGAAAACAACCAAAAAATCAATTAAATTGGACCGGAGGGAGTACTTCTTTGAAGTAACGTGCATAATTTTCAAATACAAAGATTACAAACATTAAAAGTGTAACAAACATCATTACATTCGTTATCCAATATTCGACAATGACTACATCACACCCAACCCAAAATGAATATCATTAAACTGTAAGTTCAATAAACCCAACAGGATCACTGGAAGATACATTCGATGGAACAAGGAATAACTGCTTTAGGATTGTACTAAGGTCTAGCTTTAGTTGCAAGAATCATTTATTATTTTCCTAACAATGAGTCTATAAACCAAGAATTGCAAAATAAAAACGAGATAGAGAACAAACACGAAAATAAATAATTTTTTTTGTTAATAGCAAGAAAGTAAAAAAGTGACATAAGAGAAAAGTCCAAAAGCAGAATAGTGGTAGAAGAGGACTCGCACAAAAGATAACAGGCACCATGAAGAAACAAAAGTAAAATAGAATTAAAAATCATGATATTCAATTACCCAGGCGTGGTAATCACATTTTTACCAAAAAAAAGTTATTAGTTCTTTTGCCTCACACCCAGGCCTCAAGCAACAAACAAGCAATTTCTCTAACAGCAGGAACAATTACTACCACTGTGGAAGTCCAACATCGAGTGACAAAATATTTCTTCCCTTTCTTTATGAGAAATCAATAGAATGAGGAAGCTAGATTGGTCTTTTCATCTCTCCACCATAACAAAATGTTTTGAACAATATATCAGGAGTGTTCAAAGATAAGCATGGTGTGACTGGAAAAAAAAATGAACATAAAAGAAACACGAGAGAAACAGGTAAATAAAACCAGTAAAAGCAGAGTATTGCGCACCAGAGAAGAAGGAAAAAAGATGTATTAATGTTCGATTCGTTCGCTATGCAGACTTTTCCGAAGTCGTTCGCTTCACTCAGCCAATGATCCCTCGTTTCATAATGCTTATCACGTTTAGTTAACACTTGGACTCTACCTCTTAATACTCATTTTACAGCATTTAAACCTTTCAACATTTTCAAGCCCCTAACATGAAGGATCCTCTGGAGGAAACTAAACCCCGAAAAAGAGGGGAAAAAAACAGAAATGTTTGCTCACAGTATGTTCAACTTGAATGGAAACGTGACATAATAGGTACAGGGTTAGGTGGCATGTAACTGGGGATAATAGAAATGACAAATAACTCTGAACTCTGCATAGAGTGAAGTGCAGGATTTGCATGGTGAAAGGTCTATGAATAAGTTGGAGAGCTACTCAGAGTACAGCTGCTGAACCCAATAGGGTATTAAATGAACTGTAAGAATATTTTGTTGACGAATCTTAAAATACAATAACTTGCTAATAGTACTTTTTAATGATCGTGTTGCTGCTCAAGCCAACTTGTGCACACCTCAACTAATCCACCAGACAACCTACAATGAAAAATCAGCACAAGGCTGGAGCAGATGATGTCATACTGAGTGATTTAGTTGGAATTCAAATCTGTGACCTCCACATTGTTACTCCTTGCTTCAACCACTCAACTATCCCCTTGGCAACAAGAAATTGCAATATCGGATGCATCTAGCACTACTTGACCAGTCCTAGATGAGGGGGATGACGAGGCAGGGTAGGGGAAGGAGGAGAGGTCCAATGCAAAGGTCTGCAGCGAGGGCAATATAATATTGATGGTAGAGGAAAGTGGTAGAAATTGAAGGGCGGAGTGTAAAAGGACTGTCAGAGAAGGAGGGGGGACAAGTTGGAGAAAGTGTTGAATTGATAAAGGAGAAGAAGATATAAGTGGAAAAGAGCAAGAAAGAGGCATAAACAAGGAATATTAGGATTCCTTTTTCTCCAAAATGACGAGGCACAATACTCATCAGAGTGGAAATTTTGGACAAATGCAAAGGTTAGTGTATAGTGGGGAAAACACTCAATTTTCTTTTTACCATCTTCTAATAGCCTTCGGCTTGAGTATCCCCATGAGCACTATTCATTTCCACATCACTTAGTTAGCAGTTTTTATCATACTTTCATCTTGGAATATTGTAGAACCTTTGTATCATACTTTTTCCTCTTGCCTTGGTTCAGTAACGCTTCTAACAAGCTCTAATCATGCTTTGATTGGACAAGGAAGATAGTTATCTAAAAGTTCAAACATAGAATATAAACACGTTGTGGATTGCTTTAGTACATTTACATCCGATAAAGACGGGGAAAGGATAAATTGAAGGCACCCTTGAGAAATTCAAAAGAGACAGTAGTAAAGCACAAAGGCTACAAACTTTTTTCATCACGATTTTTACCTGGGCGAGCTTAAAAGTTGGAGAATTCTCCTGATACTTGGCAACATAAAAGTCATGTAGACTTGTGATGTCAGGAAATCTACTTTTAATAGAATGAATTGAGGCCTGCAAAACAATGATCAAAACTGCTATCAAGAATATCCGCAGCAAAATAAAGAATGCTCAGGTTATCAAGAAAAAGCTAACATAAGTTACCGTATCTGGAATTGTTTCAATTAGTGCAGTGTAAGAGGATGTAACTAAGACTTCATAAGGACGCAACCAAAGCGGCAGACCAGCTTCCTGGAAGATATCTACCATTTCAAAATACTCAAACAATATGAGCACGTAATCCTTGAGAGCATAAAACAATATTAAAGGTCAACAGCAACAACATGAATCTCCACAGACATTGGCATATCTAGGAATGAAAGCCTAGCTATAAACCTAACAATTGCAGGACGACGAAAAACATAAAATGAGATCACTCTTTCGGCAGAAAGTACTACTCCTATTAACTTTTGAAAGTATATTGGGAAGGAACAGAAGCCTTCTTGTGAGCTAGTAAAGATGTAAAATACTGAACAAATAACTTCGATAACAAATAAGGTAACTGACACATAATGTGAAACCAAAGAATTTTTACCAAATATTACCAAAAATCATTTTCTGAATTTCATTCATTAATACTATTCATTGTTTTATAAAACTTTGTGAAGCATCAGTTTAATGTGAATTAAATATGATATTTACCAGAATATCAAGAGTTCTAAATTGCTTGTGGAAAGACAGCCTTCACTAAGACAGGAGTTCACATAAGAGGACTGTGTGTCTCATTACCCAATAAAAGAGCTCAAGAAAAATAAATGCAAGTCCAAAGTCTTGGTGAAGATCGACTTGTAGGATATCATAAAGCCTATTGGTCAACATCAGACAAGTAAATAAACTATGTGACTGATACCTATAAGTAAAATATATATCCCTGCTGAATCAACCTTCCAACACAAACCCCAACTTAAACTGTGAGGCCTAAAAGCAAGGTTGAATATCCGCTAAAAAATAGGCTAATTATAATGGTGGTGCTCGGTCCAACATGCGCACACCTCAACTATTCCACACGGGCATCCACTACCGCCCACCAAAACAAGTACAAGGTAACTTTGCTCACAAGGCTTAGGCAGATTGAAAGAAATTGCCTAACATCTTTTTCTCTGTTGGGATTTGAAACCTGGCCTTTGATTGTTTTTGCCCACCTCAATTACAGCTAAGGTACACCCTTGAGTGCACATTCTCACGTTACTTAAAGAAAAATGGAGAAAACCTCAATGATAGAAGATCGTTAACTGAATAAGTCCTCAGATAGCCTAACCTCCTCTTGCTTAAGGACAACGTAAAAACAAATGTTACTCGGACATATGGCTTTGCTAACCAAATATTTTAGAACTTTCATCACATAGTACAATATATGTGTAATATGCAAGATTTAAATTCTTGAATTCATCAGTCTTTTCTCTAGGCAAAGTTTGTACTCATCAAATTTCTTAAATTATTTCCTTTCTTATGGTTTCTTTTACGAATTAGTTCTATTTATTACTAGATTAGTATATTTACTTTGCGCTGTTCTACATTTGTTTCCTGACCATATGTCAGAACTTTGCCTAAATATCCCTGAATGTTATTATTTCCAAATTGCTTATTTATTTGTTTTTTGGAAATTTCCTGCATCAAAATTTTACCTTTTAACTTTAAGGTCTTAGTGTTGAATATATTTCAGAGTAAAAATCCAAGAAATTTTGCTACAAAAATAATTCTGCATCCAAAAACAATTCACAATTCACTTTTTGAACAGAATCAAGTTGAAGACCCTATTCAAGTGCTGTAGCATGAAAAAACAAATACAAAAACTAATAAAGCAGAAATGAGTTACATGACAACTGGGCCCATCTGCTTTCTCATCTATAACTGTTCATGTACAGGGGAAGAGTTCTAGACCTCTAGTAAATTCAATTCAATAACTTAGTAATAACTCGGGGAACATTTATAATGAGCGCTCCCCTCTCCTAGTCATATAGTAGATCCTCACTCCTTAAATTTCCCCTTCTGCCAAAAGTTACATTGGGTTCATTCAGACGAAAAATTGAAGAAAAGAAGTCAAAGCTATCTAAAAAGGGTACCCCAAAATAAAATAAAATAAAAACAGATAACCTACAACGGAAACAAAAAATTACAAAAATGGAGGATCTTGAATCCAAGATACCTACCGTAGAAGTGGGAGATAAGTTGTACAGCAAGATGCTCCTGTCTGCAGTCATCACCACTCTTGACAATGAACTAAATGAAACCAGAATTTAAGCACGTCAGCTGCTACTTCAGAGAAAAACATAATTTGATATTGGGAAACAACTGTATTCGAAAAATATAATGAGAAACAATTGTGTATCCCCAAAAATATAGAATAAAAAAGAAGCAGCAAAAGATAATGGAGACAACTTTTTATAATCGTGAAAGTGCTTTAAATAATCAATTATCAACTTAATTAAGTCCCACTTTATCCCTATTGTTTCTGGTGACAAAAGGAATGAAAAAACTCAAAGAGATAAAGGACATATGGGAATCCAAAAAACTAGTGGCAGAATGCTTGAACATTTTGAGGTTCTCAACGGAGTTTGACTAGAGAGTTCAACCTAATCCCACGGGTTCCCTCCCCTACTCCTGAGTGAAAGCCCAAGGTACGTACTAGGAAACCTGACTTTACAGAATTATAGACTCAAAGAGCATAAGAAGTTTCGGACAAACTTGAGTAACATGTTGCTTCAGATTTCATGATTTATGCAGGGCACCAAAAACAAAAGAGCAAGGCTAAGACATTACTGGACTTCCTTGTTATACAAAAAAAACTATCCCCTGGGGGTAGGTTAGTACTAATCAACAGTCTGTTAGATTCCTTAACCACCCCCCCCCCCCCCCCC